TTAGTGCAGCACAGTATTAATACATGATGCATATTTTGTCAGGAGTTCCATTGCTTGCAGAACAGCTAGATGGAGCTGTGACTCCTGCAGAACAGGGACTCCCGCCAGCTTTATTCAGAGACGTCGGACCCTCTGTGAATGACTGGGAGGAATACCTGAGAGACATGGCTGATGATATGGATAAACAACACGAGGCTGGATCGACAGACATCTCCAGAACAAAACAGAATGAGGAAAACCTCTTTTTGCAGGTACAGAACATATTGAATGATAATAATAATATTTTCTAGCATCTCTAGGTTTATTTGGTGTATTTTCTCGCCAGATAATTTGGGGAAACTGCTCATTCTGTTCTGCTTTTGCCCACGTTTGAGTCTTTTTTATTGTGTTTAAGCTGACTTATTAGAGTCTGTTAATTTACACATGTCATCTACAGATACAAGATCCTTCAATACAACGGCTGAAAGGACAGTATCAGACTGTTATTTCAAGTCTTCGCTCCAAACTGGGCTCCAGAACAACTCCTCCTCTTCTTCACGTGGACCCAGTCTACCTTCAGGAAGGATTTCCCATCAAACCCCTATTTTTCCCTTCTTCCACCAGAGCACCAGACCACTCCAGTTCATCATCCTCGTTGCCAAAACCTCTAGAGCACTGGTCACTTCTGATAGCCCTTGTGGAGGAATATCAAAAGTCAAGGTCACACGATGATGCTGTGGCAGAAAATGCACCACAAAGTAACTTCCTGTTCAACACAGATGTTTCTCCTGATACAGAGCGGAGAGCTACATCAGAGGATTTTACATTTGTAGAGAATATGGAAGAAACAGACATAAAATCTACAGCTTTATCCATCCCAGAGGTCATCCAGCATGATGGTCCTCACACAGAAGGCTCGGACTCTGGACATGGACGTCTTCACAGGAAATCCAGGAGCCTTCAAAGGAGACAGACTTCTGCTGCTAAGGGGAAAAGTATGCACCACACCTTGCTCCAACTATTCATTATAAAATAACCAGTGTCATCTTAGTTAGAAGACATTTCTAAAATGAGACTTGTTTGTGTTTCTCTGTAGTTTGTCCTGGACTGAGAGAGGCTTCACAGCAGGTCAGCCAAATCCAAAATGCTTACAGCTGGGTTCTAAACATCCCGAGCAAGAACCTGCGCATGAATTTCCAGGAGGTAAGTGACGAACATGAATCGGGTGGGATTCAATTCCAACACTTTTTGAGTGCACCTCTGTAACTTGATGTTCTCTGGTCCTCAGGTGTTAGTGGATCTAAGCTCCAAGAACGACCGAGGACTTTACCAGGCGCGGTTCAAAGCTGTGGTGGGAGGACGACCTTTGACCTTCTACAGCCTCGTTGGCCTGGAGAACGAATCGTTCTATCGCAGTGTGCCGAGGATTATAGCTTTGGCACTGGACGCTCTCAAGACTTAACTTTGGATTACACGAGAGAGCTCTAAAGAGAAACGATAAAAAATATGGACTGAGAGCCACAAACGTTACTTCTGCTGGTTAAAGCATTATTTTGAGCTCATCGTTGATTCCAATCATGAATGTATATCAGCCACACTTTTATGTGGCTGGGGATGCAAGCCTTGTTTAAATTATACATTTGTACAAAATAAGTTATTGTCTTTTACAAAGGTTGAGCCTGTTGTGAAGCAAACTGTACATTTGGTTTATATTATCTTTATTCTTGAAATATTTATTTGTATAGAGAAATCTGTATTTTTGTAAAGAACAAAATATAAATAAACGATTCTAAATGGTGTGTCGGTGGAGTTGCATTCGGGCCCAAAATATCCGACCCGGCCCCAGCCTGTAGCCACCATTTCCGCACCCCACCCGACAAATTAACAGTAATTGCAGGTCCGAACCCGAAAAACCCTCCAGCACTTTTTAATAAGCTTTGAATGCTTATATAGTTATTAACTGTCGGCGGACGCGCGTGGCTGAGGGGATAGAAGATCAGAGCTGAGGGGGTGTTTGTCCTTTCATGGCCGTCAAAGCGCATTAAATCCCTGCTTCTGTCTGCATTCTGCATTATTCAGACATGGACCCCGCTCTGACATGTCGGATATTTTGAGATCTCACCTGTTTGGGTCGTCGGCCCTGTGCGTCCGCTGAGTGCAGCTGAATCTTTTTAAATTACACCACCACCTTCTGAAGGAAAGAACAAAGATGTCTCATTGGTTTTAATGTTTTTCTTTACTTTAATCAAACTTTTTTTTACCTCTTTCAAGGCTGGTCAGTGCGTGATGAAATGGCCGCGTGTGGTTGGTGATGTATGGCAAGCCATGTTGTAATTTAATTGGATCATCAGCGTCCTCTGACACAATCGAAAGCCAGACACTGGCCTGGCCTGCACATTATTTTGGCCCGACCCTGCCCTAATCCGGGTTGGGCCGGGTTCGGGTTAGAAATGACAGCTCTGTATGTCAGGCTGAAGGTTTGAAATTGAACATTTCAAGTAAGATAACCGTGTGAGTTGACCATAACGCTGCTAATCCTGCAGTCGTTTGCAGCTGCAGTTCTCTTGGGGAATAATCATTATCTCCCTTTTGTAATTTACTAACTGCTTCAACTTTGTGACTTCAATCTGACTTCATTTCATCCACTCTTAAAGGACATCTGCCCCTTCAACACTGCAGCTGCTGCACTCTGGTGACAGAAAGTACCCCCTTTTCTGTCCATATTTTCTAAATTTAGATACATAAGTGCACCAAATATTCTGATCTCATAATAATCATTATGAGATTTACCGCTGTAAGAGCAGAGCATGCTTTTTTGAGGAAATAACTTGTCCCGGGCTGCCAACCCTCATCATATTCACCATCAGTTGCTTTAGTGCACCATATTGTTTGCAAGTGATGATGATAAGCAGAAGTAACATTTATCTACACTCTGAAGTTTTCATCTTTTTCCCCGTCCGGGTTTAACAAACAAAGAGAGGCATGCATCTGTTGCAACTTAACACCTTCGACTTCGGGCGTGCGTGTTTCTGTGAGCGAGTGGGAAGTGGGGCTTATTACGGCAGGTATTTTTGTTCCACACACAGAGGCACTCACACATGAAATAACTTTACCAGAACCCTAGTCAGTCATCACAGGAGGCTGCAAGTGGACAGGACTTACCACCTGTTCTCTTGAACACGGTGGTCCTGGACACACACACACAGGCCGTGCTAGTCTCTTTATCTACTTTGTAATTCTGTTGCTGTATTCAACACACTGAGATATAATTTTTTAAAAAGGTTGTTCATTTCATTTACCTCTTATGTGCTAAATCTGCTTCCAGAAACTCCATATTTTATTGTTCTCACAAAACAGTTGTAGTAGTACATATACGAGATATATGCATACAATTTCACGAGTTCCTCATCTTTCTGACTGTGTAATGTCGTGCATTGAATTTTAACAGAAATGTAACGAGAGACGTTATTTATCTTTGACCCATCAAAATGAATGCGGCCATTTATTTTCAGAATCAAAGTTTAACATCAAACATTTACATTAATTTGGCAAAATATGAAAATAATAACAGACAAGTTTCACAGATAATGAGCTTCAATCACGCGGCGGTGATTTAGGACTTTGCTTCAGATATTTCTAAAATATCTGTACTGATTTTAAGAGAAAGCAGAGTTTAAGATGAAGTGGAGATTTATCTTACAGAGAGATATGTGAGGGAATTAATATGTTATGACCAGAACGTGCACGCTCCATCAGATCTCAGCTTGCCTCCGGTACACTTTAGTCGAAGAAGAAACTGTTACCTGGTTGACGTGAATCAGCTCGGTATAGAATCCTTCAGACCTTTCAGCGTCTCCGTGAGAACTGCCAAACCCTCAGAGAGTCGTACGTGGTTTGTTCAAACAGAAGTTATAATCCCAACATCGTCACTGTATTCTGTATTCCAACGGAAGCACTCTGGGCTTCAGACATCAGAGTTTTCCCCATCAGACATCAGAGTCTTCAGACGCTGAACTTCTTTAGACTCTCCAATTCTTCATCTCCTGCAACTCTTTCAACTCCTCAACCCTCCTTACCTCCTTAACTCCTTCAACTCTCTGCCATGAACTGGGAAGTTGCCACATTTTAAATGGGTCGACTTCCGGGTCATTTGAGAGCTTTTGATTGGTCGATGGACCAGGAATAGAGGTGTGGTGTATGATGTAAGATGTTATTAAAAATCAAGGATTGTTTAGTAACGAACAGAAAGATTATTGTAGGACTTCAGACTTCGTGGAGTCTCACACTTATAATCTTCTGCAAAAGTTTAAACATGACATCTTTCTCGGTAAACATTTTAGTTGACCGAAAACCGACCTTTAACATACTTACATTGCAGACAGAAAAATCAAGAAATGCATATTAACCTGATTTCTTCTTTGAATGAGGAATAAAAATCATTACTTACTGTTTATGTAAAATAAAAATGAGTAGTTCTCTTCAACCTGTAACTTTGAGTGAACTAACACAATTTGATTATCAAACATTTGTAAAACAGTGATGATTATAAAAATTGTCTTTTCTGCTTGATTAATTCAAGAAAGAGAGTCACCAGATGGCTCAAACTGTATTCAGATCAATGAAATAACAGTCTCTGTCCATCTGATAGATTTGAGGTCATCAGGGTCAGATCAGGGTCAGATCAGGTTCACTACACAGTAAATGGCAACAGCTAAACGCACTGAACACAGTTACAACTCATTGTGTGTAACACTGGAATGCAGCCACAATTGTGTGTGTGTGTGTGTGTGTGTGTGTCAGCAGGCAGCAGCTGAAAATACACTTTAGGATTTCATCCTAACAATCATCAACCCCACCCCACCATTATCCTTTTAAATTCAACTCCTCCTCTACACCTCACACCACTGACTTCTGATTTCACTCACACGCGTGGACACAGATAACCTAAAAAAACCTCCGACTGATTGTTCTCGTGTGTGCACATGCTGCTTTGTCTCAGACCGTGCTGTGCAAACACACTCATGGATTTCGGACCTCGGTGCTCTGTGCTTCTCTTTGTAAGAGCCCTTATCATTTCTACTGCAGGTAGGAAAGCACAGCTACAAACAGGTTTTGCATGGCATGATTCAAATAAGATAAATTGGACTTTTATTATCAAATAATATTAATATGCACACAACCCTCTTTTTCTTCCTCTCCCACTCACATTAATTTAACCATGATTTATGAGCAAGATACAGTAATAAGAAAATATTTTCTCTCAAGACTTAGAGCTTTCTTTGTGCATTTTTCTTCAGAATCGACTCCAATGTTGAGGGTGACCAACTCTCATCATGTTGCAAAGTCTTCCTGTCATTTACACTAAGTACCAGAATATGATGCAGCTCATCAAGGAGTTTGTCAAAGCTCCCTGGTATAAAACAGTGAGGACTGAGAGGGGCCTCTCTGAAAGAAAATACAATCTCTGCTGTTCAGGGTTTTACTGGCTTGGTGTTTATATTTTTATTTTTTTACTTCCATGAGAGATCAACTGTTTTGTAAGCAACTGAAACTTTAGTGCTGCTGACCTTCTCCAAAGAAGAGTTGCTGATGTTCATACCATTTCCTAAACTCTACAATGAGCTCTTAAGTTTTGTTTTCATTCAAGCTGGGTTCCTCACACCAGCTCACTGTCCCACCTCAACTCCATAAATTGTTTAATCGTTGTTGCTGATGGGTCTCATATTATTGTGTCATCAGCAAACTAGCTGGTTTGTGCTGAATTTAGCACTGATGTCACATGTCAGTGGATTAAAATGCTAAAGACCGAGTACACATCTTTGAGGGACCCCTGTGTTTGATAAAGCACGATGTCTTATTGCTAACATGGGCTGTGTGTTGACTTTCTGCACAGTGAGATTTTCATTTTAGGTAAAGAAATATAAGAGGCCTCCATCTGTTTTCTTTAAATCACAAACGAGAAACTACAAAAACTTCCCAAGGATAATTCTTTTTATCTTTAAAAGGTTAAAAATATGATTATAACAAGATTGTGATACCGTTATCAATCTTTGCTCTACAGTAGTCCCTTGCTACTTTGCAGTTCGACTTTTGTGGACTTTTTGAGGACTCTTTCGTGGTTTTGCAAAGTAAGACTGGACATGACACACAATTGGCTGATTATTTGAAATACAGATATTTTTAATGATTTAGCACCTGATGCACCTGTGTGCAGCCCACGGATGCAGGGAGAAGCTCCCCCCCTGCATTTCTCCTCTGTGCTGCAGTGGCTTCTTGAAGGGTTAACCCTTTGCTGTGGGGGGTGGGGGGTGGGGGGGTGGGGGGGTGGGGGGGCTGGAACCTATCACCTGTGATAAACAAGAGACTACTGTAAATCTACTGAAGACAGAATGATACTCTGATACTCTCCTATTGTGGGGGTTACGTTCCAGAGGCTCCCGCAGTAGGTAAAAATCTACGAAGTGGCAATATGCTTATTTTATTTTTTATATATATTCAAGGCTTTACAAACCCTTCCTACACTCTTATTAACTTTCCCCATTCTCTTATAAACACTTAATTTGCTTCATTGGCTCTTAAACGCTTTGGCGATCGCAATGAAGATGATGACGATGAGATGAATGTACAGTAGTGTACAAAATGTACAGTACACACAATATAAACAACTGGGTTTAAAATCCCAGTGATAAAGTGAAGCCGCTAAAAGTGAACCGGAATATATTGAAGGCTCACTGTATTTCTTTGTGTGTGTTCCCTAAAGTATCTGCGGTCAATCTTGAGGGAGAACTTTTCAAAGATTTGATGAAGGGCTACAACAAAAATGTCCGGCCAATGGAGAAGAATGGAAACATCACTCAGGTCTTCATCAAGATGACACTTACCAACCTCATCTCTCTGGTGATCAGTGCTCAGTCTGATGTTTTTTCATTAAGACCAGTTACTGCACAGATTATTGAGCTTATATTGTTTCCTTACCTCAGAACGAAAAGGAGGAGGCCCTGATGACCAGTGTTTGGATAGAAATGGTAACTTTACTCGTGTTCATCTGATGAGTATTTTCATGAAAAAGATCAAAGGTCAAACCAAGAGATTTCTTGTCTTCAGGAATGGTGTGACTACAGACTTAGGTGGGACCAGCCACCTCGATCAGCTCTATATGGAAACATAAAGTCTCAGCTGCGGGTTCCCTCCCAAAACATCTGGCTGCCTGACATCATATTAGAGAACAAGTGAGTGTGTTCACCCTCGTGCATGATCACATCAGGAAGAAGTACTGTTTCTCTAATAAGAGGGGTGTTTTATTTAACCCACACAAAATGAGTTTAAAACAAAGAAACTGAAAAAATATTAATAAAACTCTTGCAACCTTGAGAAAAACCTCTACATATTCTTTTATTTTATTTCAGTAAAGGCAGCATGGTGGTGCAAAGTATGTGGTTCTATTGTACGCTGGCGTCCAAAATACTTATCTATAAACAATTTATCTGATGATAGTAAAATCCTACAGAATTTCCAACATTTTGTACTAAATTATCAAATTTTCCAAACACTAAGGTAGTCAGCAAAAACTTTTTTTTTTCTGAATTTCAGGTTAGATTGAAGGTGATACACCTTAACATACAGAAGGATCACAGCAAGATGTTCTTGAATCTTACACAGAACTTTCCATATAAAGACCACCAGTTTATAATGTTTGTCAGAATGATCACAAGTAGACATGGAGCTTTTTTATTCATGTTTCATTACTGATTTTAAATTAATAGAAAATCAGTCAATCTGGTTCAGATGTGAACAAACTGACTAGGACCGCCTTAAATCTGCACATGAAGTGTTCCTGATTGAAACCTGATTTGTGCTGAAGTATCAACCGTACTATAATCATTTTTGTTGCTGTTTGCAGTGTGGATGGACAATTTGAAATAGCATACTACTGCAACGCACTGGTGTATCCTGACGGCTGTGTTTACTGGCTGCCTCCTGCCATCTACCGCAGTGCGTGTCCCATCACTGTAAACTACTTTCCCTTTGACTGGCAAAACTGCACCATGGTTTTCCGGTAAGTACACAAGCTGCCAGTTTTTATCATCTTGTTTTCTTGCGTATTAAAAAATCATATGTTGTTCTGAGGACAAATATGTACAGTGTGTGGTCTGAACAGTTTATTCATCCACACAGGAAAAGAAGTAGTGCACAATATGTTAAATGAAAGTGTGGATTTGGCAAATAATGATAGATCCATACATCCATCATCCATTATCTTTACTTGCTTCTTCCATTTGCAAGAAGCTGGGACATCAAATACAGGCAACAACAGTGGAGCCATAGTGTTATCAGGCAGTTGCTCGACAGTCAGCTAGAACAGTGTGTGGAAAGTCAGATGATGCACTGCGACTGGCAAAACTGCTGGAGGGTTTTCTGCCAATTTAATGAGCTGTCAAATCCATTAAGTACTGATATTGTAGTCTAATATGCATCTGCTTGATTTATGGTCAAAACAGGTGTGAAACAAAAGCCAGAAATCTGAACTAAACTAAAAAGAATACAGAAAAGAAAACAGGAAATGGAGCTGAGATGCATAAAAAAAAAAAATAAGTAAAGCTACTCAAACACACAGCATATACATTTATCATCAAAACAATATTAAGAACAGAACTAACATATTCCAGTTTCATTGTCCCCCGTTGTGGAGTGAAGAAGGGGAACTGGGAATATACTTCATCTGTCTGTTCATTAGTGCATGTTGTGAGCATGATAACTGGAAAAATAAGTGAGGTACTGGCTCCTATTTTGGTTGTGGCTACATCTAGGCGTAAGAAAGATTCCTTCCAAAAAAAATCCAAGATGGCTGCCACCATATGTATATATCTTTACCTTGTGAGATGGTTAACTTGAAAGATAAACAACATGCAGATTTCCATTTTAGTGTGTGGCTGAATCTAGGCATAAAAAGGTCACTATCAAAAATTGGGTTGCCATGTCAAAATCTAATCCAGAAAAACACTCATCTCGAAAACTAAAAACATTCACAGATCAAATTCCTCAGTGACATTGGCGTACCCCTTGTTTCTTTAAACACAAAATCAATTTACTGTTTCCAATACAGAAAATTATTTTCAGATCCCTTTCCATCATTCAAGTAAAGCAGAAGTGATTGTGTTTGCTCTGGAGAAGGCCCACATGTCTGCTGTCTGTGTTCAGCTCCCAGACTTACAGTGCCAATGAGGTTGAGCTGGTGCTCCAGAAAAATTATACTGGTAATTACACACTGGAGTGGGTGGAGTTTGACCCAGAGGCTTTTACAGGTACAGAAATATTTGAATATCAATATCAATGTTTGTTTTCAAAAGCACTCACCAGTCCTGGTCTCTGATGGTTTGTAGAGAATGGAGAGTGGGCCATCAAACACAGACCAGCCAAGAAGGTGATCAACTCTCAGTACACTAGAGATGAACTGGAGCACCAGCAGATAGTTTTCTTCCTCATCATCCAGCGGAAGCCTCTTTTCTACATCATCAACATTATTGCTCCCTGTGTGCTTTTCTCCTCCCTCGGCCTTCTGGTTTACTTCTTACCTGCCAAAGGTTCAGATGTTTCCTACATATTCAGGCCTCTGTTCCAGCAGTGTCATTTTACCTCTGAGTGTGTGTCCTTTCATTGGTAAATCTGACTGAATCTTACAGCTGGGGGTCAGAAGTGCTTCATGTCTATTGCCAGCCTTCTGGGCCAGACTGTGTTCCTCTTCCTCATTGCTAAAAAGGTTCCAGAGACATCAAAAGCTGTGCCTCTCATTGAAAAGTAAGTTCCTGTGAGTTATTTATGTGAAGTTTACCTTGTACTGATCTGAAACAGTGCTGTAAGAGATGTCTCTTGTGAATTTTTGACTGAAGGTATCTGATGTTTGTGATGTCAGTGACCACCATGGTAGTGATGAACGGTGTGATAGTCCTCAATGTATCTCTGAGGACCCCCAACACACATAAAATGACAAATCAAGTCAGAAAGGTGAGTGTCAAGGTCACTTCTTCGGACATTTTCTGAAGTTGCCATACAAACATCTGAAAGTGTATTTGTGTGACCTTTGATCCTGTTTCTCTTCATTCTTTGTCTCTCTGTTCTGTCACTACTTCAGCATACTTTGTGCTTTTTGTACCATTCAAATGTCAAAATGTTCACCTCATTCAGGACATTCTGTTTATGACTTTTGAGTTTTGTGGCTTTTATACTTTTCAAAATGTTCAATTTTATTCACAGAAAAATCCACATAGAAATTTGAAATGTGTACTTCATTTAAAAACATTGATCTGGTGAAAACTACTTCAGCTACTTGCTCTACTTTGTCGTTGTACTTTTATCTAACTTTTTACTACTTTTAGTTTTGAACTGGGGCTTGGCTACGTGGAGTAGAGTGTGTAGCACTTTACTACTTTAGCTTTGCGCAAGTGCTTTGCAACTTTCATAGTATTTTGTTACTATTAGCTTGTAGCATTTTGCTAGGTCTAACAAGCATTGTGGTAGGTCAGCAGTTAAGTGCTGTAGCCTTGTAATCTTGGGGCTGCTGGTTTGAACCCATTTTGCGTCAAGAAGGGCATCCAGCGTGAAGAATTCCCAAATCACCAAAGTTCATGCTCAATAATCCAGGTAAAAAATCCAACACTGTTCAGTCAGGTCATCTGGACAGTTTCTTCTTTTACTGAGACATTTTGTTCTTCACTTCCTCAATCCCGAGAAGCCACCAAACAAAACTGATTCCCACAAACAGTATTCTCCATAGTGGGGGAAAAAACAGTTTGCTGGTGCTAAGACGGCCTCTGGGGCCCGCCCTCTCCTACGGGGCCCACCCTCTCCCTTGTCCTTTAAAGAACGAAATGGCTCAGGAAAAAAGAAACCGTCCAGATGACCTGACTGAACATTGTTGGATTTTATATCTAGATTACTGAACATGAACTTTGGTGTTTTGAACCACTTTGGCATGACTGTCTCAGAGGAGTTGACATGGGAGAGGGCGGGCCCTGGAGGAGAGGGTGGGTCTCAGAGTCCATTTTACAACCAGAAAACTTTTTTTTTCCCCCCACTATGAAGTATGTTTTTTGTGGGAATCCGTTTAATTTGGTGGCTTCTCCGATTGAAGAAGTCCTTTGAATGAAAGATGAAACGTCTCAGCAAAAAAACAAGAAACCGTCCAGATGACCTGACTGAACACTGTTGATTTCCCAAATCTTTCATGTTGCAACCCCTGCAGAAAGGAGCAGCCAAAAGAAACTTACTTTTAGTTTATGATACTACTTTTAGCTTATAGCTAGTGTTTTGGTACTTTTGGCTGCTACCATTTTGCTATTTTAAGCTAAAATTGAGTTGGTTTTACCTTTGAGATAGCATTTTGTTCCTTTAAAATTTTATCGATTCCTTTAGGTTTTAGCTAGTATTCTGCTTCTTTTTAGCTTTTACAATTGAGTTTCAGCCTTTTCATCAAATTTCTTCAGTCTTTTAGCACTGAGCATTACCACTACATTGTCACAGAAAATGTATTTTTCTAGTAGTTTTTTTGTTTCCCTTGAATCCCATCTCACCCTCAGATCTTCCTCAACATCCTGCCTCAGCTGCTGAGGATGAGGATGAAACGCTGGGCAGCAAACAGTGACAGACGATGTCACAGTGGGGGCGATGAACCCATGTCTGCAGACAGAATAACCCGCAGGCGCCGCAGCTCGGTGATTCTTATGACCAAAGCAGAAGAATATTCACTGAAAATGGCTCGATCTGAGCTCATGTTTGACCAACTCAAACAGAGGAATGGGTTGATGAGATCCGTGCTGGAAAAGCTTAGTAAGCATTTGCACATCTTTAAAAGTGTGTGTCTCATGACAACATGAACATGAATACCTGCTTTGTTTTGCGCCCAGACGACGGACTGTCGGGGGACACAGCTGAGCGGCTTAGTCTGAGTCTGGCACAGGCCTCTCCAGAACTGAAACAGTGCGTAGCCTCCTGCAAACACATTGCTGAGACCACAAGACAACAGAGCAACTTCCAAAGTGTAAGCTGTTACAAATATTTGTCAGCTTTCATATTAGATGTTTTATTGGTTTGTTTTTTGCAAAATCATCTGTAAATAAAATATTCTGTTTTGTAAGGGTTAATGAATTGACCTAGAGGACTTGTAGAGTTTTTAAAGGTCATGAGGGTGTGATGACTTCAGATGTTTTGGTCAAATCTTAAAAATAACAGTACAAGTAGTTTTTTAGTACTGATACTCAGGGTATGTGTTGTGAAGGACACTCAACTACTGTCAAACTAAATTTTAGCCTAATTTCTGAAAAGCTGACAGAATTATAGCCATTTTTGAGTTAGCCAACACTGTTCAGCTGTGGTGGCCATCTTTGTTTGAATATTCTCCATAAGATAATCAGCGCTAGATGTCTTTATGTTTTATCTCATTGTTCACTTTAAGTGTGGTGTCAGAAGCAGCATGCAGTCAGTCATACTCTATCATTTGACTTAATCCTAGGAAAATGAAGAATGGTTCCTGGTCGCCCGGGTGATCGACAGGGTCTGCTTTATTGCTATGGCACTCGTGTTTTTCATCGGCACCGCTGGTATCTTCCTGATGGGGTATTTCAACCAGCCGCCTTCCGCGCCTTTCCCTGGGGATCCCAGGAAGTATCTCCCTCCATGAGAGAGCACTGTTGTAGCTGTGAACAGGGGTGGGGGAGCAGACCTTATGGCATGAGCCAGGAGGAAATCGTTCTGATTTATTTTGTTAAACTAAACTGAGAATCTGACAGGATGAATCTGTCCATAAGGTCTGGGGCTTAGATAACGAAGACGGAGCGGTAATGGATATCTGAACTATCACAGCATCCTCAGCACTTGTTTATGATGACAAAGTATCAACAGTATAACAGTGGTTGTGAACTGGAATCAGCTGTTAATGACTTTTGAAGCTGTCCAATGTTTTGACACATTCCCTAGTGCTGTAAAAGAATAAGAAGTCTTTCCATCTCAGTGTTTCTTAATATGCTAACTGCTATAAAAGATCATTCTGAGACACAGCGTGTACAGACATGAATACATTTGTTGGTACCTTTAAAGCTCATTGAAACAATGCTTCATTTACCATTAAAGTTTATTCAGTTCAAAGCAATTGTCTACTGTATGTCTGCATGCCTTTAGTTTGTAATACAGTAAACAAAAACTTCAATATAAAGGATTTGTTTAGATAGTGGTTTTGATAAAGTTTTGTCATGTTGAATATCTTCTTGAGGCCGAGTTATTTCCGGCCTCCAACTGAAACACAATCGCACTACACTACCCCCCCACCTCTGGAAGCAGGATTTCAATTACATGGCTGAGTGATGCTTTTCTATAGCACAACAAAAGGCAGATCCGGCTGGCTGAGATGGAGTTGGGCTGAGACAGAGAAAGTTGACGTGAGACATGCACACACACATGCACAAAGCACATGTGAATCCTCACGTACAGGTGGTGAAGAGGCTGGCGTATAAACACCTCGGATCATGACTGCTTGCTGGAAGCTGGCTGCTTCAGAACCAAGAAAGACACTTTTGATTGTGTTTCTAACTTTTATATTTGAACGTATGACATTGTTTGGGTGCCACTTTGGCACTGGAGGCAGCAGTTTTCTTTGAAGCTGTCAGCGAAACTGCTCTGAAAGGCTGCTGGGTGACATGAATGTACAAGAGACTCAGGCTGGCTGCGATGCAAGGGCTGATGTTTATTTTGCTGCCAGGGAGCTGAAGCAAGTTCCCTCTGAGAAACACTGAAGAGGGAGCCCCGTCTGTAAACGAGGAGTTTACCCTCACATCTTCAAGCGTGTGTTTAAGGTAAGGGCTTTTTTAGTCTTTAAATGTTTATAATGCAGGTTTATGCTTTGAAAATGTGAATAATCTACATCTATTTACAAGCTCAGCAATAAAGAGCATCACACTTTATAGGATTTTCTCCTAATCCTCTTAAAAAATTAGATTTTATGCAACTTGTGGACAACTGGAATTGAAACGTCATCTTTGTGTGACATGTCCGGTGGAGCGTCATGTCAGCGGTGACCAATCAGCTTGCTCCTTTTGGTCGACTTGGACGTGAGAAGCACATCCAGATGATCTTCAAAGCATTTAAGAACAGATGCGGGTCTTCCTGCGTGGGTCGGACTGGAGAGCTTCCCGACTGGGGGTCTGAAGAACAGCTGTCAGATCGGACGCTGCAGGAGGGGATGGAGGATTTATGTGTTCAGACACCGGGAGAAGTAAAAACCCTGGAGGTGGAGGAGCAGAAACGTGAGGATACAGGAAGCTTGGACTTTATGTCTGTGCTGGAAACAGCCAGTCAGATTCATATCACAGCCAGACCAGAGCTGCAAGGTGATGATGTGTTGCATCACATGTTAGTGCATGCAGATGTGTTGGCCTGGGTTGTGCATATTTGTCTAGTAAAGTAGAATATTGCCCTTTCCTCACAGGGCCACAGTGTGTCTCCAGAAGAGCCTGCAGCATCACGACAGGTGGCAGAAGATCACAGCAGTTTGTGGTTGTGGATGGTGCTCATGTTTTAACTGAGAACATGAAGAGCAAACATGTGAAGTTATTTGATGTCTTGTCAGGTTTTGTTGACCTTCTCTTTCTGTCAGAGAGCTCCTGTGTGTGCCTCCAGTGTTGCGGTCCATCTCGATCCTGCTCCCTGAAGGAATATGACTCTCAGGGACAGCAGGTTTTTTAGTTCAAAAGACCCTTTGGGGTCGACGCCTGCTGCCTCGGGTGCTGCCTGATGGAGATGAGAGCACATTCACCTCAAAACCGTCTCATCGGCGCAGCATGTCAAAGGTACAGCAGTCTGGGTTAGATTTGATTGTTCTCGTCTCAGTACTGACAAAAGATTTCATGGTTTTATTAACTTTTTTATGTTTATTTATCCTCTATCCACCCATTTTCTGAATGCACTTTGCAGATACATAAGCTGAATAAGCTAACAGATATTTAAACATATATCTGTTCAAATTAATTTAATGTTTAAGTTTATTTAAAATGTATTTTAGGGATTTATGCAGCCAATAAACTTAACTACCTTTAACTTATTGCATTTAAATGATACGTTTTTTGCCAACAAAACTTGTACAGTTCACATTTTGCATTAAACAGTGCTCCTATAAATGGCCGCCTCAAATATGAACTGAATATAAGAAAGGCACAAGGGCTTGATCGTCACTTATGACATCATTACATGAAAAAAGAAAAACACATGAGGAAAAAAGAAAATCCAGAAATGTTGCCACCATCTTTGAGCCTGTGGTGATTTTAGATTTAGAAATTGAAAAGGGGAGCGCTTATCTGATGTTTTAATTGTGCACATCATCACGCATCTTGATTGGTTTTAGAATAAATCATTATGTGAGAAAACTAATGATAAAAACTTAAAGCAAACTTTACATTACAAAGAGCCTGTGGCTCAGCACAAGAGCTTGGTCTGCTGTATTTAGCGTCACCATTCAATGCACTGTATGACATGACAATTTTCATTTTAGTTCCCAAACAATTTTAAAATGTTGCCCCCCCAAAAAAAGAAGAGAATAAAATAACATAATGATAAATGTGCTTTTGTCCCAACTTTCTTTCAAAATGTGCTCCAGGCGGTAAACTCAGACTGAAGATAAACCAAGATCAACTTTGTGTGATTTGTCACAACTTGATATGTAATTCTTAAATAGGATATTAATCAGTTTTATTTCCATCCTAGATGTCATCAGTACCTCTCTGGAAACTGGGTTTTGTTCTGAGGCTATACTGTAAAATAACACTTACCATTGTCAGGCTGAACAACTATCACATGAGCCTTTTTTTCCATGTTCCCTGTCTCTGCCCACCCTCAGCTCAACTAGCAGCTTTCTGTAAATAGCGGCCCGGGCGTAACCTGAACCTGAGAGAGTTCATGAACTGACCAGCTGTCTGCCTGGAAATCCAGAGAGAGATGTTTTGGTCCTCTCAAGGAAGGAATGTGGCGTTACTGATGGGAATGAAACGGAAAAAGGAGCTCTGTTAGGCAAACCAAAGCACTTCCATCTTGGGGTGGCCTAAATCTGACTCCAGGATTAACTTGTAGAGTTGTCTAGACTAGAACCCAAACTCAATGAAGTTGTGTCCAGTTAGATTTCACTGACCAGAGACTGATTTGATATAAATATTCTGTCAGTTGTGCAAGAATCCTGCGCGTTATCTTCTGGGTTCCTCTGGTTGAGTTGTTTGTCATGTGGAGCATGTTCATTCCTCTCCTGGAGGTTTGTAATTCAGAAGGAGCCTCCAAAGTCAGAATCTAGGGCTCCTGCTGCCGCTGCTCCTCCAACCACCAGGTCCAGGTATCCAAATCATCATGATCCACAAGTTCATTCAACCTTTATTTAGACAGGTAAGTCCCATTGTGCCTCGAGGACTCATTTACAAGAGAGACCTGATTTCAACAAAGAAAGAAAGTTGCGCCACTGTTTGGTATTTGACTTGAAAACGACACAGCAGGTGGACTCCAACATTGGGGAGCGAGTGGGAACAATAAGCAAGAAGTGGCCCGGGTTCAACGATGAACAGAATATGAATTGTGAATTTTGGGGTGGACGGTGAGTAAAGTTTTGTAAACTGAGGGCGATTTTGTCTTTTGAATTAATGCATCAAATAAAAATCCTCTTCCACTTTACTGACGGGCTTCAGGAGAAGTTTTGGATTTGTTTCAAGTGCACAATTCTCCAAAGTCACTCAACGCTCGCTGCTTTTTCACAATATAATGCAATTTTAGTTCAATTCTCCTAATTATGTCTTTTGAATTTTGATGTCTTGCTAGAGTCACGGTTCTTGCTTCTCTTGCACACTTCACTAAATTTATTTATTTTTCTCAATATTTCAACTAAAACTTTGTTGGATTTGTGCTTTGTAATGCTACAAAGGTCCAATGTCTGTCACACTGTGGGACATTTTGAAGAGTGGGGATAATTATATCACAGCATTTCTGTTTTGACTGTTTTTCTAGCAGTAAATGATGCCCATGTGTCCAGTAAGGCTTCAGACATTTGAATGTACTCATTGAGGCTGTTCTGGCAACGCTCACATTAGGTTTTCCTTAAAATTGTCACTTGATTTCTTTGTGATACACTTTTGTTAAATCTCTGAATTAAACTCAATAATCTTAATATTTATGGATTATTTCCATTCTTAGTGTCTCCAAATTTAGAGTCACAAACAAAACTCCTGCTTCTGGCTGTTCCTTTCTTACTGGTACGTATTTTAACTTCTGTTTCTTGTACAAACTACACTAAACTGTAGTTATGAATTACCACAACATTAAAAAGTACATAGGCTACAGTACACAAAAGGTATACAGAGAACTCCGAGGCCAATGCAGTACTGACTAGTTCTATTCATGTCAAAACAGAACGTAGTCTTCCTTTAATATACACTTCCTGTTCAAAAAGTACAACTAATGGTTGATGTACCGTTGTTGACAAACAGCATAGCTTTAAAAAATGAGTTTTTCCTTCTTTTGGCTGCTCCCTTCTTTTAAGGGTCGCCACAGCAGTCACACAAAGACTTATTAATTGGTATTACGCCAGATGCCCTTCCAACCACAGACCACTGAGCTACCACAGCCGAGCTGCTATCTAGGGCGTCCGGGAGAAGCAGATGGTGGGGGTTAAGGGCCTTGCTCATGGGCCCAGAGGGTGGAGGCAGGTGTGGGTGTTTCACCTTTACCAATATTTTGATGTCAGTTTGGGGAGTTGAACCTGCAACCGTCTGATCACAGGCTCGCCTTCTCTTAACATCTGTACCACTCCCCTATATATTAGTATAAGAGTTAATGTAACGTTGCTGACAAATAGCATAGCTTAAAAAAATTATAAAAACAGTAACTTGCTTTAAAAAAAGAAAAAAGATAGTAATTGTACATTTTCAAAACAGCAAGGTGCAAATCATTGAACGCTGTTCCATTGTCTTTGCAGAACCACGTTCTTTAAGATGAGCTGATCCACGTCAAAGGAGCTTTGATCAATCCACTCACTTTATGGAAAAGACCATGACACAAGAGTCCATGTTTCCATCGCTGCTGAAGGTGGATCAGGAGTGTGGGATGAAGAAAGTACAAGAGCAGAGAAGCACTGGGGGAGTTGTAATAAGCTTTATGTCCATTTTGTAACAACATAAAAACCGAGCCAGCGTTAGCAGCAGATCCATATTAAACATTTATTGCTATAAATCCATGAGGTGCTCAAGTATTTCTTTGCTTGTGACACGAACACCTGCCTCCATCGATGCACCAACAAATGTTGTGCAGCATTACAGATTCACCATAAACTACATATGCTCAAAAAATTAAAAATACAATACATTCCTGTCCCGGATAAAATCTGCAACCAAACCCTGATTCTGGGCCCCGTTTCATCTCTTATCACAAAATGAAAGTGAACGTTAAGGATAACTGTATACTGTTGCTGAGGACCTTAAAGCAAAGCCCTTTTTATGATTTTTTTAATATTTTTTTATTAAAGATGGCATCCAGACAGAACTGACAAAAAGGTCAGGTCAAATCTGAGACCAGGCACAGTGATTTTTAGGCAATTTATAACTCATTCTAAAAATCCCACTTGTGTAACCTTCTGCTCAACACAGGGATGGTCTGCACCCGTTAAGATTCAGCTTTCATGCTGAAGCTAAAGAAATGATGCCGATTCATTTAAGTGACCTGTATTTACAAATATATTGTACACAGTAATATATCAGTTCAAGTTCCGAACAACCAAAGGAAACGTTATTAAAATACAACACTGTAATAAAACATTGTCCAACATCTTGTCCAAGTCCCAACCAAACTCATGAACACAGACTTATTTTAAGTTTGTGCGATGTTTGTCAATCTATAGGTGGTATAGTTTTGTATCAGACTGATTTGTTGTATTTTTGTCAACAGCAAATGACCAGACACGCAGGTCACACAGTCGCCCTCTAGTGGCAAGTTCACAGATGTTACAACTTGCAATAAAAAAAAGAAAGGGATTCAAAATAAAGCCTTTTGTTTTTCCTCCCTGGTTGATTAAAATACTTCTCTCTTCAGTTCGCTTCACTGTTCTGCTGTCAGGTCTTCCCATTCCCATCCAATTTGACAGAATTAGGGAACGGTCTTCGAGCCTCTGTTCCTGCTGGCTTTTGCTCCGTCTTCACGTTACGCAGTGCCAACCCACGCAGAGGTATCCTGCCCCGGGTCCGTTCACCCCCCAACAGGTCACATATACACACAAACCTGCAGACAGATACACCAGGATGAGAACGTACACCAACATAAAGTCTACGTTGTTCAGATGAATTACTCCCAACAGTTCTTACTCTTGGCAGAGCAGATTGTGTGAGGGGGGGTGCTAACGTCCACCACTAGCATTCACCAGCCCATGGAAGTCTTCCCATGCTCTGAAAAACAAGGAACATCCAGAGCATCATCACCTCACAGTAAAAACACAGTCTTCAGACATGCATGGGTGTTCAGCAGGTGATTCAAACTGCATGAACAAGCTCAAAAATTATATTCAGAATTAGGGGTGCTGAAAAAAATCGATTCGTTAAAGAATCTCGATTCCGAATCGATTCTAAAGGCTCACAAATGGATTTTAAAATGCGTTTTGTTTTGTTTTTTCCCGCTCCTACTCCCGAGCGTACTGCATGTTGCATTACGTGTCCACCCATCACCGCAGAATTTGGCCTTGTATTGTTTTGTACTACTAGGGCTTAACGTATTCTTAGTTCACATCTTAGATCTTATTAGTTTTTCCTTTACAATTTATACTTTTGTTGGATGTAACTGGGACCCTGTGTACAGTTTCATTCCATCACATGTACCAAATGTGATGAGAATGACAATAAAGAAACCTTGACCTTGTAGGCCACCGTACAGTAAACTAGCCAGTTCCCTTTATCTGAATGGAGTCTGCTAGCATGGAGCTGAGGACAGCGCGATTCGACCCGCCGCTTCGTCGACTCGTTAAGTCAGTGTAATGACACATTCAGATTCTATAACGTTCCACAGAAGACAGCTTGACAAGAGCACGGTTGTTTGCAAGAAGTGTAAAATAAAATTGCGGTACTGTATTTTGGAAATATGACAAATGCGTGGAAGGAAGATGAAAAGCAGCCGACCAGCGAACTCTGTAGCAATGCAACAAATTTCCAGTTAATTCCCAAAAGGCTGTGAAGAGTTCCCACTCCATCTCCTGCTGCATCACAAAGGATTTACGAGCAGACAGCTCAGTGGAAGGTGAGGGTTTATTTTTAATACGCTGGACCCAACATACGTTATTCTTTCACGTAGCTTTTTTGGTGATAAAGCAGCCACACCTCCACCATGAAACAAAGAATAAAGTGGGAGAAGCTCTGATGCAGCTGCAGCTCAAAGGTAACTGTTGTTTTCTCGTATTATACTAAAACTTATAGACAAGTTGTTCAACAATCTTAATGTAATTTGTCTTTTTAACAGGTTGAAGAGGACAGATGAGACACATCACCTGGAGCCAGTTCTAAAGGATTTATAAAATTAAATGGTTTATAAATTAACAGTTCAGAAGAGATTTTGTGCAGGTTTGCACAGGTTTTGAAATGTTGTTAAAAGATTTACTAAATATGAATCAACATGAAGTCTGTATATTTCATATTAGGTTAAGTTTTGAAAATAAAACAAATGTTAGAGCAATATGGTTAAAAAGAACTGAAGTCTGTATTTTATTTTGAGTTAAAGGTTAATGCACTAATGTAGGCTGAAGTCTTTTTTACTTTTATATTTATATATTTTCAATTATTTGTCTGTGACGGACTGGAGACCTGTCCAGGTGTCCCCCGCCTCTCACAGTGATGGCTGATATGGGCACCAGTGACCCCCGTGACCCAAATAAGAAGAAGTGGGTAAAGATAATGGATGGTGGATGGAGGAATTATTTGTTCATAGATTTTTTTTCATTTATTTTAGAAAAAGCCAGGCAGCTAAGCTAACCTAATACTGGTCATTTAAGTTACAGAATGTTATGCACACCTATATTTGCTCCTATTTTTGGTATAAATATAAAATGATGCAAAAAGACTTGCTACAGTAAGGAACCTAAAATTATTGTTTTAAATAAATGCTCCATTTGTTTACATTGTTGTTTAATCTTTTCATCCTAATTACATAAATTAAACAAAATGTGTGACCATTTCAATAGAAAAATAGTTTCTAAATCGAACGATGACACCAAAAATCGGAATCGAATCGCCAGACACCGATTCAGAATGTAGACATAAGACAAAAATAAATAAACATCTGTAGAGATTAGTTTTCTATTTTGTTTTCAAAGCCATTTATTTTTACAGTTGTGGAAAAATCATAATTTATCTTTAGACAACAACTTTTTACTTCAGCCAGGTTCACAGTACAGACACTAAATTTTAATTTCACATTGCTGACGAATATTGGTGGTCATGAACAAATGGTCCAGATAGTTTGGAAGGGCTTGACACGAGGAGCTGCGGCCAATGAGTGGACGAAGTGAAGGGATGAGACAACTGAAAGGAAACATCCAACGGTCAAGCACAATAAAATAAAATAAAACTTCAGAGAGCACAGTGAAGAAACTAATCCAGAATTGGACTAAATTTAATAAAAACACCTCTTAGATGTTTCCAACAGACAATATAAGAGTCTGACTAAACACTACAAGTTTTCAGCAACAATCAGGAGACCTAAACAAGGTTATAATCCAGATGTTTAAGGTACTTGTATATAGGTGTAATGTTTAGGGCAATTTAAACCCATCTGCACGTCTGCTGTAAATGTATGACTGTCAGACAAGCAGGGGAATAAATAATGTTATTTAAACATGAAGTCCTGTACTCTGAACCTGCTCGACTTCAAAACTCCCAACCAGAAGACAAGCGAGGCTTGTAGTTAACACAATAATTTGAAGACACAAATCATACTGTCTGTGTACAATAAGTTATATGTAGCACTCATAAAGGCCAGTTCTACACCACTTCCCACAGAAGAGCATTAACAGTGTTGCATACCTTTACTCAAAAAGATTAAATGAACTGGTCATTTACTCCCCGAGTGATACTTTTAGACACATGATCACTGCTGTTCCTTTTGTACATCGTTAACGACATATCAAACTACTAATAATATATATTTTTAAACATTTTGAATGGAGCAGAACACCTTAGCTCCTAAAAACCGTCCTTTAGTTTGGACGTACAGATATAAAACTATATTTACGCATCAACTTGTCTAACTTACAGCACATTTTTAACAGCAATTACATTAAACATAGGAAATTAGTTTTCTTTTATAAAAGTATGCTATTTAAAGCTACTTTAAATAGTATAAACTAAAACCCACATTGATTTCCCGGTGAGAAAATGTTTCTGAGCATGCACATTTATATAGGAAAATATGAGAGAAAAGATGGAAGGAAAATAATAAAATGTTGAGACATACATACTTAATGCTGTCTGTATGCGTCTTGTACTCCATGATGGTGTTGGGAGGCAGGTTGAGGACTCGGCGCAGGGTGTCTCTGATGCGGGCTGTGGTCGCTTGGTCACTAGCAGTTTTGTTCCAGATAGAAATTATGTCCTCCTGAAGGACAAGAAAATGAAAGAAAAGGTCTGAATGCATTTGCGTTTTTAATCAGGTGGTTACGTGCAGTAAGCGTGTTTTTGGCTTTACCTGGAAACGTACTGAGACCACAGCCCCACAGATCTCCTCTCCAACCATGAACTGCTCCCCCAGCATGGCCAGGATGAGGTTCTCCCAACACCGGGACGCCAGGCCTTTCCTTAAACGAATGATCCACTTTCCACCCATTTTATTGGCATCATCCTGAACACGCAAAATATTTCAAAGCAGGCTCAACCTTACTGCCACTAAATAAACTAAATGGAAAACAAGCAAATGCACTGACCTCCCACATGGGCTTAATGCCTTCTTTAAAGAGATGGAAGTCACTGTGACCGGTCAGATCACCGGGTCGGATCATGTGACTATAGAAACGCCAGAACTGCTCCACCTGGAGAAAATAAATTACATTCATAAATGTGGGAACATAAATTCGGTGATCATGTGAATTGTTGAGGTGGCTAACAAAAGCTCTTTCAGTAAAATCACAAGCAGCAACAAACCGAAGCAAAGCTGCCGATCTGTTTGATGTTCTGCTCATAACTCTGAGTGCTGGCTGGTCTCCCTGGAGTTCGCCTCGAGTACCAGAAAGTGTAGTTGTACTGAAGAGGGTGTTCTCCAGGCCCTGGAACCACCATCTGTAGAGAACAAAGTAGTATTTGTGACTACCGTAAATACAGGACACTGCTCTGGAGTGAAAACAAAGTTCAAATGTACCTTTTTCTTGATAATGTTCTGTTCTTTGTCGTCGTTTTCTTCAGATTTTTCCTTTTCGATGTCTTTCGGTGAGCCTTGTTCCTGGTCGTGATCTCCACTATCATCGTCTTTCAAACTGGATTAGCCAGAAACATAGTAAGACATGCTGGTACCAGCCATTTCAGGTAGCTAATTAGCATCTCATGGTTTTTTTTTTTTTATTATTTTCATACATAAGTTGCTGTTTTTACTTTGTGGTACAGCTGAGAATATAAACGTCGAGTCTGTGATGATTAGAATAAACATGTAGATGTAAAAATATTAGCAATAATTCAAAAACTAATCCACAACTGCTGTGAATTACACGTTGCTTCATCTCAGCTGCTACCGTTTGAAAATTAAACGCTCTCATTTTGATGTGGCCAATAAAAAATAGGCTTAAGAGTAAATCCCACAGGACACCATCAGTTGAGTTATTATGGGCGGTGATAATACATCTGTCAAAATAAGCTCTTGTCTAACTGCTCGTAATTAAAGGCCGTGGCAATCTAGTTTGAGCCGAGCCTGCGTGCGCCTCTTCCCGCGGCTAAACAACTACCACGCCGAGGACTGACGGCCTACCAGCTCGCTGATAAGCTAAGCTACAAGCAACGGCACAACGCTAACCCTCATCACAAACTATTTATTTAACATCATTGCCTTGTTTTATTATGAATCCACTCGTATAAACGAACATAACTTATGTTATAGCATAAAACCACGCTAAAGCTGACACACCTCTCATTTATTCACACATCGCAGCTTTCTCCCAACTTTAACCTTCCGCGATAGTGACGTAAAGACAACAAGGAGCTCCGATCAGGTTTATAGTTCAGATCAGGTGTACTTACGCATCGAATTTGTTGTTCATAATTTTCTAGGAAGGAGTTTTTGGGAGTCCCGAGTTCAGCCTCCTGAGTTCCGCAGGAACGGCGACGCGCATCGACAGGCTCATGGACGCGCAGCAGAAGGCTCGTGGACGAGCTTGGTGGGAAGCGTTCGTTCGACAGTGAAGAGGTCAGAGGGCACAGTATGGTTTAAAATGTATGTATTTTTTGTTTGCCATAAGTTTATGGTATTATTTAAAAGTCTTGAATCAGCCTCCATTTTTTTATTAAATATTTTCCTTTTGTTTATCTTTGAACATGGTCTTGAACAGTAACTCAGCTTTTGGCTTCTGCTTCACTCATTTTCAGTCAAATACCTAAACATTTTTTAAGTCACTTATGTCTAGATGCATGTAGCATGATGGTTTAGTGGTTAGCATGTCACAGCAAGAAGGTACTGGGTTCAATCCCCAGTTTGGACCGGGGGTCTTTCTGTGTGGAGTCTGCATGTTCTCCGGTTTCTTCCCACAGCTCAAAAAAACAAGCATGTTTGGCTGCCCCCCAGGCCCAGGCTTCACTTGCATGCTGGTTAATAGAATAGACTTTATTGTCCCCTAGAGGAAATTTTTCAATTGTCAAATTTGTTAATAACACATTTGTAAAGAAACAATTTAAAATTATATTTCTGGGCACCTTGTTGCTGGCAATTTGTTTCCATTTATTTAATTTATGAAAATACCATTGGCATTTGACTTGCATAAAATTATATTTTAGTGCCATCAATGTGTCCTAAAGAGACATCAGCTGAAGCTCCTTTGAAGAAAAGCATAAATAAATTAGATTTAAATGTTGCACAGTGTTGCACTTGATGCAAAGACACCTACAGAAATCTAAAAATCACAAAAACATGAAATCAAAGATGTATGTGGATAATTTATTGATCATACTTTGATGCTTCAAAGCATAATAAATATACACGCAATACAACTCTGAGCAGTTTTTCACAGCTTTTAAAGTTTGCCAACTCTGGCTCTGAAACAGATGACTTCAGCTCACAGATATGGGATGGCTACGAGCAGACAGGCACACACACTGCACATGCGCAGCCTCAACACAAAGAGGAACGGCGGCCTCTTTATTTCAAATGGCATCCTCTGATGTGCCGCCTCCCTCGTTTCATCACTTGGCTCGTCTTCTGTTCTTGCGGCGACTTCAAACCAAGGCCCTGTTCAGGTCCATGCAGAACTGAATCTGCGGGCAGGCTAAACAGAAGGTGGAGGGCGAGGATGGGAATGGAGTGGACTAACGGTGCAGTTTGGCATTAGTTTTTGTTGCAGATGCAAGTTGTTTTGTACATTAATACAATAAAATAATCATGTCCATGGTGAAAATGCAAGCCACATAGTCTCAGTGTATGGTGGGGAAGGATGGGTGAGAAGCTTTGGGATGGTATGACTCGGTGATGCGTGGTTGGCTCTGCTTTTGTCGACCAGTCCCTCACCCCTTGTCCCCCATGCCTCTACAGTATGAGGATCTTCATGAGAGGCCTCTTTGTTCTGGGCCGCAGGCGCACCAGTGAGCGAATGCAGTGGTGGTATTCTTCAGTAGCCGCTGTTTATTTACACCAGCCAGCCCCGTCATACTTCATTAGCAGCCCGGCCCACCGAAAACCTCTGATGTTCTAATCACAGCAATCATTGTGTAGCTGCACAGGAACCAAGAGCCTCAGTGATCTGTCTCCTCCTTCTGTCAGCCACTCCAAGGTACATACGTACAAACACAGGCCTGCCTTCTGTGGTGAGCGCTGATGGCGAGGCTGGTTGTTTCATCGTGGGCCAAGAGGCACAGCGTGGTGAGCTGACATCAGTACAGCAGCAACAGTCCCAAAATCTACTTTTTCATCACAGAGACGTGAGAGACCTGCCACCCAGAGACAGACAAATCAAGACCGATGGATCATTCAGTGCTGCCTTCTTCTAACAACCATTAATGGTAAAATGTATTTGAAAGGTATATGAGGTCCTTTACAGCACTCCACTTAAATTATTGTCAAAACCTCTTAGGCTTCATCCTGTAAATGTTCTAAATACACAATTGATAAAATGTATAATTTTAAAACAGAAAGGTGCTGCGCTGCATTAATGGTGTAAGATTTAACATCTATAACTACATTGTAGATTATTCAATCCTTCTTGTTTTTACTGTTACATGTTTATAAATGCTGCCAATTATCTAAATGTTCTTACATTTTTCTTTAGTTTGACCAATTATACAGAGTTTGATTTAAAAATGGAAACAAATTACCATTCTTATCTAAGAACTACCAAATAAAAGTTTCTTGAGAAATAAGTGTGTGTTTGATTAAAGATTAAAAAGAAGGTAATTTCTGCACATCTTCAAAATGGACCAACCTCCTGAATCATTCTTCCAAGCTGCTCCTGGCTTTTCACCACTTTTCTAAGAAAGACAAAAATCTGTTATTGCTTTTGACTTAAATACAGTTTATATTATAAAATAGATTATGTACATTTATAGCTGTTGCTGTAAAGACATTTACTCAGTAATGACTCTTGGGTGGTGGTATTCTACATCTTGTCTTATGGGACAGAGGCGTTCATGGTATTTTGGCTCCTTAAAGAACTAAAATAAAAAAGTGAGGACCTGAGTCTCTGAATTCCTTTAAGCAAAGGAGAATATAAATGGTTTGTCCACCACATATTTGGCTTTGCATCAGTTTTATTGATGGCCGTAAGTTGAGGCCTAGCGGTGCAGATGTTCTGGAGCTAGCTGGGCATAAAGGTGTGATTTTATTGTAAGCAGCCTGACTGGCAACAGCAGCCATTGCACTCTGCACGTTTACAGGCAAAGGGTTGCAGAGAGGAGAGGCTGGGAGGACAGCTAAAAAGAATGATGCACAGTAGATGTCTAGAAACAAGCAGCTGAAGATTTTCCACCTCTGCCATACAGCAACAGTGTGAACCTGTGCAATAAAATATCCTTGATGTGTTTCACGTGAAGCCTTCTACTACAGTATAATTTAAAGCATTTGCTACATGCATACCAAATCATGAGCAAATGTTAAAACGTTACAGTGGTAGTGGGTGCATGCAGTGCTACACGTGAACATCAACAGCCCTAACAGGACAAAACTAAAACGAGAACCAAACCTGTGTATTCTGCGAGCCAGGCTGAGGGAGAAGTTCGCTGAGCAGTCCGGCTGATAAGTGGACGGCACGATGGTGTACGATCCAGGAGGAAGCGTGCAGGCTAGACTGACATCCTGCGTGTGACAGTGGGGGGTGCAGCTCGCCACAAGATTCTCCTCTTTGACCGTCATCTGCTCAGATCCCCCCCTGGGTACCTGGTTACATTGTTAAAATCAGATGCTTCAGTTTAAAATGGAAGCTGACTCACCCTGAGAAATTCAACACAATGACACATCTCCAATCTGTTACAGCTGTGGTGATGCTCACACAATCAGAAAATTACAAACAAGTTTTATTGTACAAACAAAAACAGAAAACTGCTTTCACAGTTCAATTAACAAGTGAACAAAATGTCCCAGACGTACCTTATAAACATGGAAGCCAATAGGCAGCAGATCAGTGTCAGGACAGCTCTGGTGCAGACTAATCTTCACATTAACCCCAGATGGCACATCTGGTTCATCGCACACCGTAAAAGAGAAGCGGGGGTTCTGCCAGTAGGAGAGGAAGTTCCTGCTTCCTCCGGCTGTCCTTCCCTCTACCCACGAGCCACAGAAGGAAGTGGTCTCCCACTCACCATCTGCTGTCAGTGGCAGTGAGGGTGCTGGGCTTTTCAGGGCACTGAGGACAATAATAACTATATTATGATGTGAAGAAACGGCAAACACCAGATATGAGTTCTTCTCACGAAGATATCTAACACAAGAGAAATAAATAATAATAATACAACAATGTGAGGAGTAACACCTGTGAGTTTATTTTCTGATTTTGTTTAGGGGCAATTTAAAGTTTTCAACATTTTCACATGTACAACATGTCTGACACACGCGGTGTGCACAGCTGTCACTGAGAAAGCTTTGGGTGACAGACCTCCCCACACCACTGGGGGGAGAGAGAGCACGCTGCCACGGGAACGCACAGCCATTCAAGTGTGTCTGTGAGACCTGTGTGCCAAAAAGAGTACGTTCTGTACACTTGTGAAAATTATGATTGGCCCCTTAATGCTAATTATTGTTTAAAATTATTTTATTTTTCATCAAAATACAGTAGTCTCTCGCTACTTTGCGGTTCGACTTCTGTGGACTTGCTCTTTCCGGTTTTTCAAGTTACAGTATTGTAAGATAGTACACGACAAATAAATAAAATTTTAGAAGTGCTGCCATTTTGTAGTTTTCTCTCAATAAGCCTACACTGTATCACCAGTTTAAAGGACTGCATTACCCAGAAGGCAAAGTTGCTTTCTGCTGGAGGGAAAGTTTTGATCCGAGCGGAAAAAGTTCGGTCCTTACAGTACTCATAGTGACTTTGGCGCTCAGTGGATGCGGAGAGCCGATCAGAACCGGACCAAGGCTGGTTAGGTCTACCAGACTGGAACTGAGCTGCTGAGCTGCTGAGTAAAAAGGCATACTCATAAGTAAAAAATGTTTTTGTGGCTCCTCGGACTGATGAAGTCCTTTGGATGAAAGACAAAACGTCTCAACAAAAAAAAAACCGTCCAGACGACCTGAATGAACTTTGCTGGATTTCCTACCTGGATTATTGAGCATGAACTTTGATGTTCTGAACCACTTTGGCTATGGCTGCCTCAGAGGAGTCGACGGGGGAGAGGGCAGACTCCAGAAACAATCTTATCACCAGCAAACTGGTTAGTCCACTATGGGAGTGTGGTGCTTGTGGGACTCGAGTTTGTTTGTGGCTCCTCGGACTGATGAAGTCCTTTGGATGAAGGACGAAACGTCTCAACAAAAAAAGAAACCGTCCAGACGACCTGACTGAACTTTGTTGGGTGTTTTGGTATGCATCAACTCAGAAATCAATGTCATTTCTACTTTGTGGATTTTCACTTATTGCGGGGGGCTTCTGGAACATAACCCCCGCGATAAACGAGGGACTACTGTACCAGCAGGATTTGGTAGCAAAATCAAATTTTTTCCAAAAGTATGAGTTGAAATTTCACCCAGACAACGTACTTGGTGATGCCGTCTTCCAGTCCAGTCTCACCTGAGTGATATGGAGGAGGAGGAAAAGACCCGTATAAGGAAGTGGGTCTCGGCTCCTGGCTGGTAGGTGCTGGGAATAAGAAGGTAGTATCCAGGATCCAGCTGCCTGCGGAGGACCACCTCCCTCTCATAGGCATGGCAGTGAGTAGAAGCACAAATTGGTTTGATCAACGTCCGACTCAGATTAAAATGCTTCTTTTCCACCTGAGGAATATGTGTAAGGAAATTGTTACAGGAACACACACACCATCACAAGTTCATGATGAGGCAGACCTTCCACATGTGCAGAGCAATCGCTTGGTAGTGCTGGTGCTTTATGTTCTTGCCGTCCTCGAGTGACTTTTGTGCGTTTTTCCTGTTTCTCCATTTTCGATGCTGCAGCAAAGATATCAATACTTCTCCTCTCTCGCACACTTTGAGCCAAAACTTGGGGTTACTGCTGTAGCTGCTGGCGTTTCGGCTGCCGCCAGCAGAGTACCCTTTTACCCACCGTCCGGCCAACTGATGACTGTGTGTGAGAAAATTTCCTGTAACGGGACATAGCAAAGGTGTTTAGAAAATCAAAATCACCCAGTGTGAATGAAACGTTTATTTTTAATTATTGCTTTATTATAAGTCTATGTATTTCTCTCTGTACCTGATAAGATACTGCTGTGCTACAGACTTTCACTTTGATACTTGGATTCTGTGTCCTGACCTTCAGGTGTAACATTTAAACTACATCAGTGTTTCTAACTATATTACTTCCAGACTTTTAGGATCCATTTACCCTATTATAAACACTGAAACCTACATTAGGTCTCTGTGGTAAATACTACTACTATCTGACGTTTGGTTATCAATAGCTGTTTGTCTAGAGTCAATTTTATTAACTACAACTTCTGCTTAAAGAGTGTTTCCGACCCAACTTTAACCCTAAACATTAGCATGCACTCATCACTGGTTCAAGTTATGTCTACTTATGTCTTTTGTGAGCTAAACAGAGTACTATAATAATTACAGCTGCTGTGATACATTTATCTGCACCTTACAGGGACCTGTGTACCTGTAAACTGTTTACTCTACAGAGAATTAAAATCCACAAAAGAAAATGACCTCAAAGTCATTACAGAGTTTCTTTCTACAATGCTGCTAAAAGAAAAAAAAAATCAGTTTAGTGAAATGTGGGTATAACCTGTGTAAATGCTTTTCAAGTGTCCCTCTTCACTCATGGGATATCCCACTGTGATTTCATCAAACTGGGACGTAAACTCAGCCTCGTCCAACCAGAATTCACCCTCGGCCAACCTGGACTTTAAGTCCACAGCACAATCCGGGTCAAGAGAGCTCCATCCGACACCACTGCAGTGAGGGAGTGAAAGGGACAAGAACAAAAAAAAGTAGACTGCAGGTCACAAATATACATAAACAAAATGGAGTTTAAAGTTTTATAAATAACGATCAAGTTAAAACAAGGTTTAAAAATGGGTCTAATATTTTATTTAATTCTGAAGTGTTGAAAAGACTCGGGTTGTTTTCACACCTGATAGTCCGGTAGACTCGGTTCAGTTGGGGACCATTATTCATAACATTTGTTTACATTTGAGCTGGTGCGTTTGCATTCACACTGCACTGTGCAGGCGAGCCAACCAGTTCGAATCAACCTGTTCCCCCACTCGCCTGTGGTGGCGCTGCACCAAAAACTACTGAAAGAAACAACACTAAAACCTTTGAAGAAGACACTTCTTCTTCGGGAAATAAAAATAAAAAAACGGAGTGGTGTCAAATTTGAGAGGTTTTAGGAGTTCTATTTTGTCATTTTTCAACAATGGACTCAGCATGAGCGGAAGATGAGGCAGAAGACCATGGAGAATATTGTTTTTTACACAAGGCAGCTGACGGCTCCATATGAGGCTAGAGTTTGGGACAACAGGGCTGGTGTGAATGCACCCTTAAAGTCAAAATACAAAGGCCATTTATGCATACATTTAGTTTTCTGTTAGTTTGTCAGCCGTTCTTAAATGCACAACTCTGTACAGTCTGTGTGTGAATTTGTTTGTAATCATAGCTATGTTGTTTAAGAAATGTGGATTTTAGTTTTAGAAGTTTCAGCTTTTTAAAAACTTTCTGCTTCTTACATATCTTGGACTTTATGACTGCTACTTGTGCATTTTTACATTAGGAAGAGCTTATTATTTAAACCGAAAGGCATTCTACTTTTGTCTACTAATATTTCTACTATCTGCTTAAATAAGTAGAAAACTTAAATAAGTAGAAAAACTCAAGTGTTTGACTCACTCGATGCTTTATGGAAACACAAAAAGACAAATGGCATAATTAATTTTGGTAATTAATTTTCCAATTTTGACCAAATTTGCTATTTTTTATTGACTTGACGATTATTAGCAAGTAAAAAAATAATTTTGGGGGGTAACAAAACCTTTCAAAGATTCTACCAATTCAAGATCATTTGCTTTTTATTAAAAATGGAATGTTTGTTTTAAAGATTATGCACACTTTTGTTTTTCAGCTTCTTCCAGTAATTGAAAAATAAATCTTAGAAAGACTATTAAATAAAAAAAAACTGCATGGTTTGTTTAAAAGTTTGTAACATAAAGAAAAAAGTACACTAGGTCAGACTTAGAAAAAGAGTCTGAAATTTTCCAGGACATATGCAGTGTAATTTTTTTTATATATGAAAAAAAAAAGTGTTTTAACTAGGAAGTTTTAACTAGAAGTGGACTAATAATTTTCTCACAAAGTGCGCCATCAGGCAGAAGTAACTGAATAAACAATGTCAGCAAAACAAATATTTTATGTTGCCATGGTAGTAGTGAGCATTAGATAATCCAGTGTTGGTATGAAAACCCCTTCTCATTTGCACAGTGTATATAATAACCCTTGTGATATGTCTCAGAAGAAAAAACAATGATTCAGAAGTGAAATGATGACAGTGCAGCTGGAAAAACTTGACTGACAGCTTTCTGAGTGGATAAAGTTCAGCTTTACTTTATTTTCTCCCAACGTCAAGCTGCGATGCAACGTTGAGCAGCTTTCATAACTTTCCAATTTATAATTTAAGATGGCTTATATTTGGATAATTATAGAGCAAAATGTGCTTTAAGGTTACCCCCAACAATAATGAGTCTTCTCCATGACATGTTTACCTCCAAGTCCAAGCACCGCCCCAGCAGCATCGTCCCCACGGGTTTCTGATCCTGAGCAGCCACACCTCACTCCCTGACACCGTCTTCACGTTCAGCCACTCCATCACCGTCAGAGCATGATGCTGACCCATCACACCGAGTCCTAAATCAAGTAAGAATGTCAGTGAGCGGTTTAGCCGGGGATCGTTTATTTGATTATCTACAAGGGAACACTTTTCTAACCTCCAGGGGCACCGTGGGTGGAGCAGCTCAGTGCACAGTCATCCTTCACGTGAGACAGAAGGTTCAGGTCTAGCTTTTTCTTCTGGACTCGATCACTGTCCCGCTCTGTTCGCTGCTCCTCCTCTGACCCAAAGTCGCCCAGGCTCCACCGCTCAGCTACACCACCGGTCAAATCCACCAAGGCCTCCGCCACCTGCCCCGCCCACAGATGCTCATATGAACCATGAAGCCTGAGGGAAGATTAAATTGTCACAATTTTGAACTTTTTAACTTTACTAAACAGGTCGCTTGGCAAGTACACAAATGTGACCACAAAAATTAAATATGTTCTGCATCAAATTGCATGGGTCGCCAAGATAAACTTGAGATAAAGGAACAAGGAAATGCCACATACTTTGCATAGGCCTTCTCCAACAGAGCTACCCAGAAAGCAGAGGGGGAGTGGCAGTGTGAAAAGCAAAGGGTGGATTTGAAGCAGGGCAGGCGGTCGTCAATGGTCACCTCTGTCCAGTTCCCCTGCTGCCAGAAGAAAAACCGAAAGAACCCCCTGTATCTGCTGTTTCCCCACAGAGGCTGATCTGCTGGAAACACCTGCACATCACACAGGGACAGGGTGAGCAGACAATTGCAAAAGAAAGTCAGGGCTAAATATTTATTGGACAAAAGGCAATGCAGCAGTTTGTGTACCTTGTTTAAAAGCCGTTTGTTCTTAAGCAGGACACTGGATGCACAGAGAAACCAGCAGTCTCCGAGCAATCCTTGTTTTGCATGAGCCAGGTTGATGTTTGAAGGGAAGAGAGCAGGTGACTGGCAGATCTCCTTCAAACAGGATTTTAAAAAGGAAAATAATGTCACGTGGACTGGAAAAAAAAAAACTGTTGAATTTTATTCTCAGTGGTTTAAATAGCCCAAATGTGTTTATTTAACAAATTATTTATGGGCTTAAAACACAAATAAATAAACAAGATATTTACTTTCTTTCATGTTTTGTTTCAGGACTAAAGCTGTTTAATTAAAAAAAAAAAAAAATGAAATAGAGGTGGGGGGGGGGGGGGGGGGGGGGGGGGGGGGGGGATTTTTACCTGGATGTGGCCTAATAATTTTCTCTATCAGGTACAAGTAAATGAATAAACATTCAACAAAACAAATGTTTTATGTTGCCATGGTAGTACTGAGCATTAGATAATCCAGTGTTGGCATGAAAAACCCTTCTCATTTGCATAGTGTATACAATAACCCAAAAATATTCAGAAGTGAAATGATGACATAGCAGCTGGAAAAACCTGACTGACTGCTTTCTGAGTGGATGCTTTTGTCATGATTTGTTGCAACAATCGTTTTGTCATCAGTTCATCAATCTGACAGGAAAATTTCCTGTTCGCCTGAGCAAGTCAAAACGTGACACTCAATACAACGCTATGGGTCTAAAACATTTAAGTCACTGGGTCTTTCCAGGGACATTAGTTCACTCATAACTAACCTGCGGGCGTCGCCAGGTGATCTCTCCCTGCAGCCTGGCGATGGGTGTGGTGCTGTCAGAAAACAGAGATGAGTCCGCACAAGGAAAGTCCAGGTCCTCAAACAAAGCACCCGAACATTGGGCCATGCTTTCTTCTCTCATGACTGGATATCTGCAGTCAACCTCAGCCATTGATCACCATCCTACATGAATTCATGTATTGCACATTTGTAGCCCACCTAAAACAAAAAGCATTACTTCTATTAAAAGTAGTGAAATGCACTGCCTTTATGCTTGCTCAGGATGAGAGTCTGCCACTAAATTAGGACTCCAAGCAGTCTGCTCCTCAGATAATTAATGTTATTAACTTACTTTTTATGTATATGATTGTTTCTGTGTAGCGCCCTGAGATGACTTCTGTTGGGACTTGGCGCTATATAAATAAACTGAATTGAATTGAAAGAATGTCTGTGTTTTGGTTTAAGAATGTTAAACAAAAAGCTATTTATGGAGTTTTCTTATCTCTGAATTCCAGAGCTAAATGTCCAGATTTACCAGCTGATTTTGAGGCTGTGTTTGGAGTCTGAGCACATCCATTGAATGCTGATGCACAGTTTATGGTCCTAACCACACATAATACAAACTCTCACTTTCTCATGCTATCAAAACCTAAATGAAAACACTTAATTGTGTTGACCATCAACTACAAAAATGTTTTTTGCTCATCGACACAGCACCTTATATTTAGACAACTGTGTGCTTTAAATGCATTTCCCTCATTCGTTAGACATCAATATATATAGAAATAAGTAAAAGACTGAGCAGTACAAAACTGGTCCCTGTTTGGTTTTACTGTATTTATTGTATCTTACCTCGTCTGTCGTTCCAGCATCTTTCCCATGGTTAGCATCAGCTAGCACAGTTAGCATCAGCTAGCGCAGCTAGCGCAGTTAGCATCAGCTAGCATGTGCTACAATCACGGCTAACCTAGCGACTTCGTATCTCCTCATCTTAGTTGCAGAACGAACTGCAGCGACGTTTTATGTGTTCGGTCCATTTATGCACTTGTGTTCCGACCTCATGGGTCTCACTGCTGAGAATAAAAGATCACATAAAGTGTCTTCTGCGCGGACATGTAGCAGCAGGACATCCACAGAGGATCCTTCCGGGGCGCTGTTGGTGCGCGTGTCACTCACATCATGTTTTAAAGAAGGTGCAACTGAAATTAATGCATTTAAGTTGTCAGCTTTGGACATGGGAGGATATCATGTGAACAGGTTAAGCAGTATAATGTAACAACAGCACAAAATACATTTGAAAACATGTAATTACAATGTTTATCAATGACTATCATGACTTTACATATGTTGGAAAACGTTCCAGACAAATATCACCGGACACCGCGGTAAAGTTAGTTTTACGTTGGATATTCGAGCTCCGCCACTTCAGCGGGGTGTTGCTGCATCGGTGTCTGCATGGAGTTCATTTTAATGCATTAGTGCTGCATGAAACTGATTAACTTTGTTTCGTTAACTCGTACATTTACGGAAGCCCATTTGTGCCATTCGGGGCGAAAAAATACTCGTATTAATGAAATACTAGAGGTGGGACCAAGTCATTGTTTTGCAAGCTTCAAGTAAGTCTCAAGTCTTTATCCTCAAGACCCAAGTCTGACACTTGACATTTCAAGTCATTTCAAGTCTTTTTCAACAATGTTGCAATTGTATGTTAATAGACTGTGTGTTCATTTTTTAAATCTATTCATCTCAAATTGTGATGAAACATGTGCAACTGTAAGTGTTAAAAAGTCATTGTAAAATTTACATTGCGGAGTTCAATGGCTGCAAGAATAGTCTTCCTTCAAACTGTAATTTTCCAGAAGAAACATTCAGTGAAAAATACAAAAGCAAAACTAAATGTTCAGATAAAAAGTGCTGACATGTACATCAAAGAACCCATCCATCCATCCATCCATTTTCTTTACCCGTTTATTCCATTTTGGGTCACGGGGGTCGCCGGTGCCCATGTCCAGCAATCACTGTGCGAGGGGCGGGGTACACCCTGGACGGGTCGCAAGTCCATCACAGGGCCACATGGAGACAAACGAGACAAACAACCATTCACTCTCTCACTCACACCTAGGGACAATTTAGAGTTACCAATCAGCCTAACATGCATGTTTTTGGTCTGTGGGAGGAAACCGGAGTACCCGGAGAAAACCCACGCATGCACAGAGAGAACATGCAAACTCCACCCAGAAAGGCCCCTGGACCGGGGTTTGAACCAGGGACCTGCTCGCTGAGAGGCAGCAGCTCTACCAGTTGCGCCACCGTGCTGCACATCAAAGAACCATCACAGTAAATTTAGGTCCTCTCCTCTCTCATCTGGTCACTTGGTGAACATGTTTGTATGTGTCCATGTGTGAGTGATGGCTAAAAATAGAACAAATATTTGAAATGAACAATGAACAGGAACGTGCACTATATTAAGGTATTTCAGTTAGCTATTCTGCATTGCATCTGCAAAAGAGCAAACTGGCCAAAAGCATGTCAGTCATTTGTACACGATGATGACATCGTAGGATGATGAATTTCATAGCTGAAAATTGGCTCGACTGGAGCGCTACATGCAGACACTGCCAAAACTCTGGCAGCCACACGAAGGAAGAGTCTGCATGTTCATTGCCCAGAACAAGATGACGTTCTGTCCATCTGCAATATCCAGGTAGTGACTCAGCTGTAGTGCTGGACTGTGTCAGTGGGTCACGTGACATGAAAGCTATTCTTTTATTTTTCTCAAGAATGTTTGGTTCGATAATTTATTGACGGTTCCTAAGCGAACCATTGCGCCTTGGAGGAGGGGGCAGACCAAAACCAGGCTGCCTGCATCTGATCAAATGAGATGAAGACAACGCTGAATCCGCAGAGTTCATATATCCAACCTAGAAGTAACTTCACCACGGTTTTTAAATTTTAGATTATGGGTAAAATATCAAGTATTTTCAAGTAGACAGGTGAAAGTCCAAGTCAAGTCCCAAGTCATTGGTGTAAAAGTCCAAGTCAAGTCCCAAGTCATTGGTGTAAAAGTCCAAGTCAAGTCATAAGTCATGTGACTCGAGTCCACTCCCCACTGTGAGATATCACCCCAAAATTACAAAACTGATGCTCAGCTGGTGGGTTGTGAACCAAAAGTGAGTCGCAAACCAATTTTTAAAGAGTTCTAGGTCTTTGCCTGTGCAAAAATAAGTTGAGGAAGAAATAACGTTCTAATGTCATAGTCAATGGATAAATACCTGATTAATTTTAATGACATTTTTAGATTGTTCAATGGGTGGGTAGCTCAGATAAAGCAACAAATCTTTTAATCTACTTCTCCATAATTGAACTTTTTATGTTTGTGTGTGAAGACGTTGTTTAGTCTGTCTAGTTAACATTTCTGAAGGGAATAGTTTTGTCGGCATGTCCTTTTTTGTTGGTCTTTGTTGTTTGGTTGTTCCCCACTGGTTATGTTTTAGATTCTGTGGTTGGTTCTGTTCCTTGTTTATTTTATTGCATTTATTTATTTAGTCTGAGCATTCTTTTGTGTATTACACAGGTGGCTGCGGTAGCTCAGTGGCCAGTGCCATGGTCTTGTATTTCTGAGGTTGTGGGTTAAAGTCCAGGTTGCATCAGGAAGGGTATCTGGTGCAAAACAATTGCCAAATCTTTCATGCAAGTTCGCTCGCTATGGCAACCCCTGAAGAAGGGAGCAGCCGAAAAAAAAACCTAATTTATTCTTTTTGTGTATTACTCACTTCTTCTTCCAGTTTGCTTTCATTTCATACATTTTTTTGTCTTTTTTTTTTTTTGTTCCTTGTTCCATTTCCTTCTTCTTTAAACAAAAATGTAATCGTTTTCCCGGGACTGTATTTGCTGCTACACTTGCTTCAGTTTGCCGCTTCTTCAAAATTGATAAATAGATCCACTTGCCAAAATTATTAGAAAAATAATGTATTTATTTGCTTCAAAATGATACATATAAATAATTTAT